TGCGGAGCAGCTGGAACTTCCCGTGGGACTTTCCACCATAGACTCCTGCCCCGCTCCCTGCAGCACAGGGTCACCTATGGATGCCCTGCCCGACCCCCTGCAGAACAGCATGCCCCACTGAGGCCCCACCCTGCTCCCTGTGGCACAGCGCCCCCTAGAGCCCTACACTGCACGTGCACATGCAAAGCCCGGCTGGCCCACCCGTAGGAATTCATGGCCCAGCACCAATACTCCCCAGCGTCCCCTCTGCTGAGATTCAGCAGCTCCAGGTGCCTGGCCCCTCCCTGGCCAGAGCTCAGGGACTCATTCCCCTTGGCCCAGCTCAGGTTGGCATTGGCTCTGCTCCCAGCCTCACAGCTCAGGCTCAGGGAGTCGCCCTCCTGGGTCTCCAGAGACACAAATTCACGCTCAGCCTTCAATGGGGCCGGCACTGGAGGAGACGAGCAGGCAGGTTTCGCCCCCGCAGAGATCCTCTGCCAAGGAAGTGAGATTCAGCCATCTTTGGGGTGGGAAACGGGGGCTGTTTACATGAGAAGCCCTCGCCCAGTGTGGAGTCGTAGCCAGCTCTGGGGTTGGAGCACAATTTTGGTGACTTTCCATGGCAGCAGGTCTCTGTCGCAGAGATCGGTCCATGACCTATCTCATCCCCACTGCCCAGCGCCCACTAGTGCCACTCCTGGGACTGGAGACAGAGGGAACCGGGCCTGCTCCCTGCTCCCCGCACCACAGTCCTGTGGCTGCCTCGGACTCCCCGCTCTGGGCACGGACCAGCCTGGCCCGGCTGAGCCTGGCGCCTGGCCCTGAGCGCGGGCAGAGCGTGACTAGGAGGCGCTCGCTGATTCCCGGGGCTCGCAGCGCGGCCTCTCACCGGGGTTTCCATTCGTGATCAGGTTCCCATTGGTGCTGGGGGGCCCTGACAGCTCTGTAACACAAACCAGAAAGGGGGGGATCAGGGTGGCTGGACAGCACAGGTGGCTATCCAGGCACCCCTCACCCAGCGTGGGGACAAAGCCAGCTCTGGGGTGGGTGCACAATCTCGGTAGCTTTCTATGGCAGTAGGTCTCTGTCGCTCAGTTAGGTCCCTAACCCATCTCCTCCCCACTGCTCAGCATCCCCTAGTGCCGCCCCTCTGGCTGGAGACAGAGGGAACCGGGCCTGATCCTCCCACCATCCTCCCTACAGCCCTGAGGCTCCCTTGGGCTCTCCCCTCCTGGCATAGACTAGTCTGGCCATGGGCTACATATGAACTGCCAGCTCAGGGAGGCTAGCCCCTGGCCCCGCCCCTTCTGCACAAGGCTCCACCCCCACTGGATCCCAGTGCCCCCTCCACCATAGCCCCCCCGAGCCAGCCCTGGGCCACCAGAGCATTCCAGCCCCAGCGCACTGGGCGGGAGGAAGGCATGGCACTAGCCTCCTCGAGTCCCAGGCCACAGGCCAGCCCCCTCTAACCCTAGCCCCAGCCCCAGCGCCGCCATGGGGGAACAGCATGGGCAGTGAGCAGGAGAGGACCTGGGGGCAGAGCATGGGTGGGGCCATGTAGGGCTATTTGGGGCAGCTCAGCCTCCCCTGGCCTGCGATACCCATCACCCATGAGCCTAGCCCAGCTGAGCCTGGCGCCTGCCCTGAACGCGGGCAGAGCGTGACTAGGAGGCACTCGCTGATACCCGGAGCTCGCAGCGCGTCCTCTCACCGGGGCGTCCATTCCTGGTCAGGGTCCCGGTGGTGTTGGGGGGCCCGGTCGGGTCTGTAACAGAAATCAAACAGAGGGGATGAGTGGGGCTGGACAGCACCGGAGGGGGAGGGTCACTAGTGATCACTGAGCCTAGACATGGACCCTCTCTGTGAGCTCAGCTGGGGAACGGGAAAGTCCCTGAAGTGACACAAGACCCGTGGGCGGGGAAGGGAAGCAAAAGACCCAACTGGGGGCTGACCCAAGAGGCGACCGCGCCGGGGAACCAGAACTGTGGGAAATGGAAACCCAAGGGACCAAAACTGTTTGGTCAAAATTTGGCCTAATTGGCAGAGTCACTAACGAGGGGCCGGGCTGCTTCAGCCTGGGTACTTGAGCGAGCGTCACCAGTGCCACTGTCTGCCGGGCGCCTGGGCATTCAGCGTCCTGCTCCCCAAACGTGTCCTCCCCAGGGCGGGACAGAGGCAGGGGTCTAAATATCCCCACTTCCACCCCCATCCCCACCCCAGACTCAGCCACCACCGGGGTCATCAGACACCCCCGTCATCGGTCCTTTGCCTTCCCCCCTCGGCTCATCTCTCCCCAGCCCTCTCCTTTTGCTGTCTAGCTTAGCTGGTCAGGACTGGATGTTTTGCAGCCCGGCTGCGCCCAGAGGGGCGGCTAAAAGCAAACCTCAAACAGCTGGACGCTGGTACTGGCTGGCTAGGCCTGGCAGGGTCCGTCCACGCTGCCCTCAAAGCCCCGCGGCGCCGAGCCTCAGAGCCTGGGTCCGTTGGGTCGGGCTCGGGGGCTCGGGCTGCGGGTCTTTGATTGCAGCGCGGATGTTTCCTCCGAGGTCTGTGTAGACGTTGGGGGTTGGGCTGGGGCCTGGGCTCAGACACAGGCGGAGGACTGGGGGGTGGGTTCCTTCTAAATCTCCCTCTGGCTGAAGGGAACAAGGGCCGTCCTTACACTGATGCCTGATTTGATCCTTCACCTCGCAAAGGCGGCCGCTGATTTCCCCTCTGCCCTGGATCTGCAGCTCGAGGGTAATTTAACGGGGGTTTGCCCTGGTGCAGATTGGGCCGAGGTCTCTGGTCACCGAGCCCCAAGTGTGTGTAGTACCGGACAGTGACTGGGTCCCATATAGAGCATCCACCAATCCCGGCAGAAAGGGGCGGGGGGGAGGAGATGCGGTGGGACAGCCTGGGGGGATCTCAGGGGGCACTGGGGTGGCTGGTGTGAGGAGAAATCCCAACAAGGGGGGATTGTAATGGGGGGTGTGGAACGCAGCACAGGAGGATTTTGGGAGCAGGGTAAATCGGGGTAGAGAGGGGAGCCTGCTGCCCCTACTTATACAGCCCAAAATGCCGTTAACTTTCTTGGCAACAAGGGCACACTGTCAACTCATATCCAACTTCTCATTCACTGTAACCCCTAGGTCCTTTTCTGAAGAACAGCTGCGTAGGGCCACTCGGTCCCTAATCTGTAGCAGTGAATGGGATTCTTCCGTCCTAACTGCATTACTCTGCAGTTCTCCTTGTTGACCCTCATCAGATTTCTTTTGGCCCAAGACTCTAATTTGTCTAGGCCCCTCTGTATCCTATCCCTACCCTCCAGCGTATCTACCACTCCTCCCAGTTTAGTGTCATCTGCGAACTTGCTGAGGGTGCAGTCCACGCCATCCTCCAGATCATTGATGAAGATATTGAACAAAACCGGCCCCAGGACCGACACTTGGGGCACTCCGCTTGATACCAGCTGCCAACTAGACATTGAGCCATTCATCACTACCCATTGAGCCTGACAATCTAGCCAGCTTTCTATCCACCTTATAGTCCATTCATCCAGCCCATAATTCTTTAACTTGCCAGCAAGAATACTTTGTTAAAGTCAAGGAATAACACATTCACTGCTTTCCCCGCATCCACAGAGCCAGTTATCTCATCATACAAAGCAGTTAGGTTAGTCAGGTATGATTTCCCCTTGGTGAATCCATGCTGACTGTTCCTGATCACTTTCCTCTCCTCTAAGTGATTCAGAATTGATTCCTTGAGGACCTGCTCCATGATTTTTCCAGAGACTGAGGTGAGGCTGACTGGCCTGTAGTTCCAAGGACCCTCCTCCTTCTCTTTTTTAAAGTTGGGCACTACATTCGCCTTTTTCCAGTCATCTGGGACCTCCCCCGAGCGCCATGAGTTTTC